AGTGGGAGGGTGGTGTGCTCAGAAGTTCTTCCATGCTGCAGATTCTGCCTGATGAGACCCAGTTGAGAGCCCTCGCTTCTGTTCATAGGTTCCTAGAGCTGCAGTTGCTGAGGAGCAGGTCTAGGGGCTAAGCCTCAGCCCTAGTGTGGGGACAGTGTTGCAAGGAAAGACAACAAAGGGGCAGCAGCACAGAGAAACCCCCCCCCACACACACACCCATTGAAATCGCTAAGAGTTGGGCTGAGTGGGGGGACCTCAGAACGGGGCATCACAGACGTGGCAGCAAGTGGTCAGCAGCAGAGGTGACAGCAAGCGACTGGTGTGACATTCGTTCATGGGACTTTCACACAGGCAGGTGGGCACCTGAGAGGACACTGCCCAACACATCATGGGGTGGAGGGTTGCTTGTGGTCCCATGCTTTTGAATCAGTGGGTGTGATGGTTTCACAAACTAATGCTGGGATCCCTTCCCCTTTTTTATTTAAAAGTTTCTTTGCTGTGCACAGTTTCAGGACTTAAGTATTGCCTTTTAGGGGTACCCAGAGGTGTGGTTTAGTTTTCCCAGATTACTGGTGGGGGCTCGAGCTGGTTCTGTGTTCTATTGCCAAGAGGAACCCCTAGATATTGAACCTGGCCCTTGTTGCTGCCGCCTCCACCTGGCAGAAGGGTTACACGTGATTTTGCTGAGGAGAGAGAGCACCTATTGGCTGCTTCAGAAGACAGGCAGCTCTCCAAAGCAAAGATCCCTCAGGCCCAGAGGAGTTAGGAGCCTAAATACCTTGGAGGATCTGAGCCTCAGTTGATACAGTGGAGCTGGTTGGCTTTGACAACGGATGAAGGAGATATGGCACAGGCTAACATTTTCCTGAGTCTAGAACCCTTGTGATATTTTGTCACTCAGTGCCAAAGCTTCCCCTGCAGATGAGGTTTGTTGTAAGCAGAGCTAAGGGGCATTTTTTGAATTTTGAAATGTTTTATAAGTTGCCACAAGGCCAATGCTGAAATTTCAAATTTTGCTTCAAATAAAAAAAATGGGACAAAACTTTTGTGAAAATATTAAAACAAATGGCATTGAGGGTTTTCTCTGTGCATGTGAAACTGCCAATAAAGTACAATTTAAACTTTTTAATTAGTTTAATTTTTTAAACTATTTAACTTTCTAAAACTATTTTTAAAACTATTTTAACCATTTCAACTTTTGAAAACTATTTTAATAATTTTTACTTAAACTATTTCTGTATGTTTTTATTTTATGTTGACATGTGTATTTTTAAACTATTTTAAACTTTTAACTCTTTCAATTTATGCCATTTGGTGGATTTCTTTCCTTTTGCAGTCTTGCACAGAGTGGATGTGAACTTTGACTGGCCTGATCTCACTTTACACGGCATGTACATTTTTGTGCTCACGTTACACTACATTGTGAAGAATGGAGAAAAGGGCTTTGAGAAAATCAGTGTTGCCAGCACTTGCAATTTTTTTGCATTTCCTAAAGACTCAGGGCCCGAATCAAAAGACTGCATGAGAATTGCAGAACAGTTGGGCTAATCAGGGATGTATCAGTTCACTAGCAATGCTGAAAAAATAAATAATAAAAAGTTTGATTTTGAGTTGAATGAATTTTTTCAGAAAAAATTTGACAAATCAAAAAGTGGAAGGAAAATGTTCAGATCAGAACAAAACATTTCACTTGGACATTTCCAAAATATTTCATTTTTTTCTGGCACAATTTTTCAAATAATTTCCAGCTGACAAAAATGCCTGTATTTGATGAAAAAAATCCACCCAGCTCTAAATCTCAGCTCTCACCAATGGGGCTGGAATGTTTTTTATAGTGGGGGTGGTGAAAGCCAACAAAACTATCCCCAAACTTTTTACCTTGCATCTCCCTTCCCACTGTCAGAGCTGAGGCCGGGAGCAGGGCCATGTCTTTGGAAGGGAGGGGGACACAGACAGGGGTAAGGGGGCCAAGGCTGGGGCCACAGCTGGGGGTGGATGCAGGGCCAGGAGTGGAGCCCTGCATGTGGGGCTGAGAGCAGACCCCCAGGCGCAGGGTCCGCAGCCAGGACCCCTCATAAAATCTGGGGGTGCTGCAATACCCCCTGCACCCTTATTTCCCATGCCTATGGCTCTCACTTATGAAAAGCAAGTTTCTCACTCTGGAGGCTGTGGGGAAAAGCCTGAAAACGTGACCCCTAAAGGCTTGGAAACAGGAAAGCAAAGAAAAAGAAACCCCCATTTGTTATTTCAGCAAGTGCATGATTTGTAAGTGTAGCTTGTGATTTGGGGCCTCACTCATCATTTTTGAATGCTTAAAGCTGGCCATGCTCAGACTGTGCTAACAATGATTTAAGAAACAGAGGTGTGCATGGATGGTCAGGGAAATGTGTGGGGCAAGGACAGTGGTTTTGTTCCGTGTTTGTACAGCAGCAATGAGGTCCTGGGCCGGGATTGGGGCTGCTCTGTGCTAGACATTATTCATGTTAATAAAAATAATAATAAATAATCCAGCATCCCATATCCTCAGCGCTGCCAAGAGAAATGAGTGCATTGGAGCAGAGCTAGATCCGAGGCAGTGCTTAAAGTGGTCTGAAAAAGGGGAAGGAGTTTCCCTGGGAATAGCAGCTTTGGTAGAACATAAGAACTGCCATCCTGGGTCAGACCAAAGGTCCATCTAGCCCAGTATCCTGTCTTCCGACAGTGGCTGGTGCCAGTACTTACAGTCCCCTCAGGGACGCGGCTCGACTTTTATTTATGTGGCTGTGTCTGGTGCTTCCTGAGAGCCCCCTGGACGCACACACTTTAACCACTGACCTCAGCGAGGGATGCCCAGGAACTAATGATGCCGTGTCAGAGGCCAGGGCCCAACTGTGCACCAGGAAGGACTTTCCCTGCCTCAGAGCGCTGAACCAATGGGTGTGGGGGGTGCGGCCACATCCATGGTTTGAAGTGGCTTCCATATATACAGTGTTCACAGGCTCTCAGCACCCCCACTGTACAAATTGTTCCAGCACCCCTTTTCCAGCCCCAAGCCTCTCTGATTTGGGTGCGCTTCCAGGGCGCTGGAGGATGGAGGGGCTGCAATTAACAAGCTATTTCTGGGGGGCCCTCAGGCGGGACACCCAAGGCCCGATTCACTTCCCATTCAGCAGGGAAGTTTTCTTTTGCTTCCAGGCCTGACCCAGCCAGCTGGGAACCAGTCGGGCTGCTCTGTCTGGGTCCCAGAGGGGTGGCTGAGGATATGGGGCCCAGTGGCAAGCTTGGGAACTGCTCAGCCCCCGGGGCTGGCTTCTAGCTGCAGCGGCCGGGGAGGAGGAGCGGTTGCCACGAGAGGACAGTGGCTGATGTTCGAGGAGGGGAAACTGGCTCCTCCTCTGCCTGCCCTGCTTCCTCTTCCGCCGGGATAGGGCTCAGCTTCCCGGGCAGAGAACCTGCAGCTGGGGCTGAGCCGCTGCCGCTGGCCAGCGGGGTCTGTGCGGGGAGAGACCTGCACTAACCCCGCTCTCTGCCCAGCCAGGGGGACTTTCTGCGGGGGCTGGAACCAGCTCCTGGGGCAGCCCCGGGCTCTGCCGACACCAGCCCCTGAGCCGGAGCCTGCAGGTGAGGGGAGAGACCCGGGGAAAGGGCCGGGGCCGGGGAGGAAAGTGACTCTGCACCAACGGCCCCTCCTCGCCCCAGCTCTGCTCCCGGGGGGGCGGGGGTCTGCGAGTCCCGGAGGTGCTGCCCTCCCTGACCCTCCCCTCCCCCCCGGCTCTGCCCCCCTGAGCGCCGGCAGGAGCCGAGCCAGCGCCGGGAGAGCGAACGGGCCGGGCCGGGCCAGGGACTGCGTCTCCCAGCCCGAGGGGAGGGGAGGGGGCAGGAGGGAGACAGGGGCAGAGACTGGCAGGGGCAGCAGGAACAATCAGCGGGGAAGAAGGTTCCCGCTTCCCAGCCCTGCCCAGCCCCATTCTCTGCAGCACCCCGGGCAGATTGACTTCCCTGGGGAGAAGGTGGGGAGCAGGGAGAGGAAAAGCCAGTTTCTGCCTCTGCCTGGTCCCCGCGCTGCTGGGGGGATGCGCTGCCCTGGGGACAGTGTCAGGGGGATCCCCAGTGCGGCTCCTTTGGTTCTGCACTTGGCTAAGAGGCTCTGTGCCTGGGAGAGGGGGTACTAATGTCTGGGTGGGTTTGGTCCCAGTGGGAGGGGCTGCGCTGGAATAAAGTGAGCCAGGGTTTTCCCAGCATCTGCGGGTCTAATTCGTCTGTCTGCAGGGAAAGGCCCTGGGGGAACCGAAGTGAGAAAATGAGCCAAAGGCCCCTCCTGAAACCTTCTTCTGCTCGCCCTTCCTGGCTGCAGGATAACACTCTGGATCATGTCCTCCTCCTGCAGGCTGGGCCGTGAGATTGAGGGTGGCCCATCCAGGAGGCTGGGGGAGCAGCGGGCAGACGGGGGGAAGGGGGTAAAGCCAGCAATGATGGACCTGTCTAGTATGGCGCTGACATTCTGAGGAGAGGGGTACCAGCTGCCCCCACCCCAGCGGCCCCCACCCCAGCGGCCTGTCATGGCAGTAGCCAAGGCTCCAAGGGCTTCACACTCCGCAGTGGGGAAAGGTGTCTGGGAACCCCTCATCCCAGACAAATGAAGAATGCTAGCTACAGCAACACCTTCCTCGTGGGTGATGGATATGCCCTGGAGTTAAAGGGGAGGGCTGGGTGGGAGAGGAGGAGGGTGAGAATGCTAATAGCATGAGCTCGCCTATCACTATTTCCATCCACAGATCTCCAGGTGCTTTACAAAGGAGCTCAGGGTCATTCTCCCCCCTTCACAGAATGGGGAAACTGAGGCATGAAGTGGCGACATGGCTGGGCTGTGGGCACCAGCGGCAGAGCCGGGGCTAGAACGCCATCCCCTGGGTCGTGCTATCTGTTAGGTAGTGCCGGAAGGTGGGGCAGTGGGGCCCATGGATAAACTGCAGGGGGTGGGGGGACAGCAGCTTCTGAGTGAGGGTCTCTGGCTGTTCCAGGGGCTGGCGGTCAGCAAGAAGGTGGCTGTGTCTTCCACCATAGAGCCATGCGTCCTGCTGGATCCTCACCAAAAAGCCCTGTACAGGGACGTCATGCAAGAAAGCTACTATACCTTGATGTCACTGGGTGAGGATTCCTGTCCCCTCGGGTGTTCGGACATCGGAGGAGGGGGTGTCTCTGAAGTGCTGCACAGGGTCTGGGTCCTTTAGATTTCAGTGGGATCAGCCCCGTAGCCCCCAGATGCCAGCCTAAGGGAGACCATCCCCTCTCCAGCACCTGCTAGTGGACTTCTGCGTGCCCAGGGCAGCGGAGTTGGAGGTCTGAGTTCCTAGGATGCCCCGGGCTTACGAGAGGAGTGTGGATGAGCTCAGCTTGTTCAGCCTAGCCAGACACAGCCTGAGAGGGGACTGCTTCTTATTGGGGGGGGCTTTTCTTTGCCTTCTGGTTTTTGAGCCATTAGCGTCGTGCTCAGGGACCCATTTTCAAGGTGTTCTCTGCAGCTCCCTGTTGCGTTCCTGGCTTACATGCAAAGAAGCGAGATAGAAACATAATGCATTCTAGCTGGAAGCAACAGGACTTGGCTGCTTAGAATCCAGAACTGAAATGCACAAGAACCAAAAACAGAGAGAGAGAAAACAGGCAACTTCCTCAGGCAGTGTGGCACAATTCACCCCAACTTGCTCTATGCTGGGCCTTTGCAGACTGACTGCTGCTAGACCTCGGTCACATGCTTCCCTACAGCGCCCACTAGCCTGCCAACAGGACCAGAAAACCTCCTGAGAATTTAAAGTGATAGCTTGTCAAGGCCCCTCACCACCTGGGCTAGAAATTTACATCTTTCATATCTCTTTTTGTAGTGAACCCTGAGATTCTTGCACAATCTCATGATTCCAGCTGCCGGGGCTTGACGTCAAATCTCAAATATTGCAAGACTCGCGAGACGATTGCAAGGGCTGGCGACACCGTAGCATAGCTGGTGCTTGGTGCTCTGCAGATGCAGACCTGGCCCTGGGGATAGAGCAAGGCTGGTCAAAGAGGCCCCGGGGGAGTGCCAGCTGCCATTCGGTCAGGGAATAGGGAAACCCGAGCTGTGTGGGGCACACTGTGTGTAGGGACCTGTCCCCCTCTAGTGGCTTAGCCAAATAAATACCTTGGGATAGACATGGCTTCTCTCCATGTGCATCTTATCACACTGAGGGAGTGGGGGAACCCCCATGCAGCCCCCATAGCCTTCCAGGGAGGGGCTGTGGATCAAGGTGATCACAGCCCCGCTGGCAGCGAGCGAGGAGAGGGGGCTGCTGCCTAACGAGCTCTGATTCCCTTCCCCCTCCCCCCCCCGCCTGACTCCCCCATGCAGAATTCCCCTTCCTGAAAGCGGAGGTGATCTCCCGGGTGGAACCGTGTCGCAGAGGCTCCAAGGAGAGGGAGATCCCAGCTGCGTCTGGCACAGGTGAGGGATAATAAACAGACTGGGCAATAAACAGCTGGGGTTCCCACCCAAGCCCTGTCAGCGTCCCCGGCTCTGCTGCTGCTCCCCCAGGTCTGGGCTGTGCCCAGCAGGCATCATCGTGGTGAGTGTCACTCATGGCTTCCCACCTAGCCTGACAACATCTGGCTGTGGCGCCGTCCCTGCTGAGGGCTCAGATGGGGTGTGAGGGCAGAATTGGTCCCCTCCTCTGGGCAAGGGTTTGGGGGATTCAGCCCATGATTTTCCAATCTCTCAGGGAGCTATTTTAGTCTGTTTCCCCCCTTTCTGAGGTTCCATCTGCCCAGAGCAGGGAGTGGATTCCAGGCAGGCAGAGTGTCCAACTGGACAGAGCAATGGACAGGGACCAAGGAGACCTGGGGTGCATTCCTGGCTTAGCACTGGCCTGCTGGGTGATCTTGAGCAAGTCACGTTCCCACTCCATGCCTCAGTTTCCTTATCTGGGGAATGGGGGTTTGTAAAGTGCTTTGAGACCTAGCCATGCAGGAGTGGAGTGTGGGAGTTATTCTCTCTCTGTCCCAGCAGGTGTTGGGACAGCGAGTGAAACCGAGGAGGATAATCCCTCGAAGGAAGGCCCTGAGCCAGCGGAACCACAAGAGATGCTGCCGGGAGGATTTTCAGGAGCTGTTTGCCAGGGGCCTGCTGGGGTGAGGCTGGGAGGGGCAGGGAGGAGACAGGGCAAACCCGCCCCCCAGGAGCCCAGCCCAGAGAAACTGCAGGACATCACGGCTCACCAGCGGACGCCCCAGGGCCAGAAGCCCTACCGGTGCCAGGACTGTGGCAAGAGCTTCATCTGGGGTTCGCACCTGGAGCGGCATCGGCGCGTTCACACAGGCGAGCGCCCCTACGCCTGCCCTGAGTGCGGCGAGTGCTTCACCCAGAGCTCCCACCTCCAGCAGCACCAGCTGGCCCACGGCGGCAAGCGCCCCTACGAGTGCTGTGACTGTGGCAAGCGCTTTGGTGACTCGCAAGCCCTGGCAACCCACCGGCAAGGCCACCTGGAGGACAAACCCTATCGCTGCACCCAGTGCGGCAAAGGCTTCGACTGGAGCTCCCACCTGGAGCGTCACCGGCGCATCCACACTGGCGAGCGGCCCTACCGGTGTGGGGAGTGCGGGGAGACCTTCGCCCAGAGCGCCCACCTCACCAAGCATTGCCGGACCCACACCGGGAAGGGCTTCGTCGAGAGCTCTGACCTGATGCGGCACCGGCGCACCCACACTGGGGAGAAGCCCTACAGGTGCTGGCAGTGCGGGAAAGGCTTCAGCATCCGCCCAGCCCTCACCAAGCATCACAGGGAGCACGCGGTGGGCACGCCACGAGCAGTTGCCACTGAGAGCCTGCCCCAGGCTGCCCCCGTCCCCTCCTCAGGGAGAGGAGAGGAGAACCCGGCACTTCCACTTCACATCACCCGCTTGGGAGAAGGCCCCTGGGATGGCCCGAGGGCCTCTAGACCGAGACTCCCCCAGGACGGCCCGACGGCCTCACTACCTCTGAAAACCCCATGCTGGAAAGCACACTTCCAGCTTTAGTACCGATGTGTTCTAAAAGTGACTCTTCAAACGTGGCCGTTTCATCACCCTAGAGCGCCCTGCAATCACAGGGGCTCCGTTTCCCAGCAATAAGATCTTTTTTCTCACTGCCAGCTCTGGGATGGAAGAGAAGTGCTGGGTTCTTTCCTTCTCACGCATCGTCACCAGGAATAAAGGGTTCACAGGGCGAATTTTTGCTTGTGCAGCCCCTGGCACCCTCAACCTCTGCGACCCCCCATGACAGATTTCATAGCCCCGAGGGCCATACATAGGTTGACCTGCACCCCTGGTGGAGACGCAGATAGGTCGATAGAAAGAGTCTTCCATCCACCTCACTACTGCCTCTCTGAGAAGTGGATTTACTGCATCACTGGAAAATCCCCTTTCGTCCGCGCAGGCAGTGTCTACACTACAGTGCTACAACATCGCAGCTGCAGCGCCGTATATGTGCTGCTGCCGTGGCTGTAGAGCAGATGTGGGCTCAGAAGCAGTTCTGTTGTGGTGGCCCAGGGTGGGATGGGGCAGTTGCAGGGTAAACGGGAGATAGAGGCAGCGAGCACTCGAGGCCCGACTCTGCTATGTGCATGAATCAGGGCAGCGGGGCGGAGAAAAGGGGCCAGTCCTGTGGGATACGTTCTCATATTGCAATCACAAGGGGAAAAATGTGCTCTCTCCACCACCAGCCTACACAGCTGGGACTCCTTTACACCAGGATGACCGAGAGGGGAACCAGCCCCTTTAAACTTTCTTTAAAGAGCATTGAGCGTTAAAGAGGATGGGCCCAGCACTCGCTGGTTGACCCTAAAAGAAAGTGGCAAATAACCAGCCGGGGGATCTGGCTTCAGGGGTTTCAGAGTCTGGCTGGTCCAAATTTTAATTTTTCATTCCATTCCAAGAATGAAATTTTTTTCATGAAAAATCTTTCGTTCCTTTTTTTTCTTTTTAAGGATAAAAAAAAATCTGAAATTCAAAACATTTTCCTCTCCAATTCAAGGGTTCTGTTTTGGAGGGGGATCGCGGGTTGTTGGTGCATGCATGCATCTTTTTCCCACATTCTCTTGCTTTTGAACTTCCCCCCCTTTTTTTCCCCTCTTGAAGAGGAGAGCAATTTGGAGGCAGGAAAACCACTTTCTCTAACTTTTTTTCCACTGGAAAATTTAAGAAAAACAAAGAAAGAAAAGGTGAGGATGGGAAATGCAGACACATGTGAAAAATGAAAATTTTAGAAATAAAACAAAAAATTCAATTCAATTCATTTTACAATTTTGGATTTAAAAAAGGGGTTTCTGGGTTGATCCTCACAAACTGTTTGACGAACAGTTTTTAAAGGGCCACAGAGTGGTACCCTGGTTGGGGGAACTTTCAGAGAGGGTCACCATGATGATACATGTCTTCCTGGACATGCTCTAGGTTAGGTGACGTCATCCCGGCCTGACCTCCTGCCTTTGAACGGAGCAGGCTAGATTGCTCTAAATGCCTAGTGGGGATCTCACCAGCTTTATGTGCTGCATCTGTCACCGTGGTGTCTGGGCACGAGGGCAGTGTGGGTAATGGAGTTGGGGGGTTTTCTGGCAATTCTGAAAAATCAAAGGAAAAAAATTGTTTCAGGTCAATCCCAAAATGAGTTTTTAAAAATTTTCAGAAAATTGAAAAGTTGGAAAGAAAAATGCATTTCTGATCAAATGCTGCATTTTATTCCACCCCAGACAAAACCAGTCTGTTTCAATGCTGAGCAACTTTTTATGTTTAAAAAATAATAAAATGAAAAGTAATTCTGATCAAATTACTGATCAAATGGAGGGATAGGATACAGAAGGACCTAGACAAATTGGAGGATTGGGCCAAAAGAAATCTGATGAGGTTCAATAAGGATAAGTGCAGGGTCCTGCACTTAGGACGGAAGAACCCAATGCACAGCTACAGACTAGGGACCGAATGGCTAGGCAGCAGTTCTGCGGAAAAGGACCTAGGGGTGACAGTGGACGAGAAGCTGGAGATGAGTCAGCAGTGTGCCATTGTTACCAAGAAGGCCAATGGCATTTTGGGATGTATAAGTAGGGGCATAGCGAGCAGATCGAGGGACGTGATCGTTCCCCTCTATTCGACATTGGTGAGGCCTCATCTGGAGTACTGTGTCCAGTTTTGGGCCCCACACTTCAAGAAGGATGTGGATAAATTGGAGAGAGTCCAGCGAAGGGCAACAAAAATGATTAGGGGTCTGGAACACATGAGTTATGAGGAGAGGCTGAGGGAGCTGGGATTGTTTAGCCTGCAGAAGAGAAGAATGAGGGGGGATTTGATAGCTGCTTTCAACTACCTGAAAGGGGGTTCCAAAGAGGATGGCTCTAGACTGTTCTCAATGGTAGCAGATGACAGAACGAGGAGTAATGGTCTCAAGTTGCAGTGGGGGAGGTTTAGATTGGATATTAGGAAAAACTTTTTCACTAAGAGGGTGGTGAAACACTGGAATGCGTTACCTAGGGAGGTGGTAGAATCTCCTTCCTTAGAGGTTTTTAAGGTCAGGCTTGACAAAGCCCTGGCTGGGATGATTTAACTGGGATTTGGTCCTGCTTCGAGCAGGGGGTTGGACTAGATGACCTTCTGGGGTCCCTTCCAACCCTTATATTCTATGATTCTATGATTCTAAGCGTTATTTTGAATCAGAAAAATGGAAACAGTTCCTTTCTAACAGGTCAACACTCAATGTTTCAGGTTTGGGTAGTGGATTAATTTATTCACTGGATCAAAACAATTTTGCAAAATTAACACAGATTTGCAAAATGCTTCTGTTGACCCAAATCGGCATTTTTTGCCAAAAAATCACGTGGGGTGTATTCCAAATGGCAGGGAGCTGTCTATACTGGTTTGTTTTGTTTTTGTTTTTTTGATTGATTGATTGATTGATTGATTGAGCAAGTGAATCCATGGGCAGGCAGCCATTTAAATGCCTTCGAAATCAAAGACCTTAGAAAAAGAGTGGGAATTGAATGGAATAAATTTATAACAAATGCCGAGATTCATCAGCAAGTTCAACAACCCCTAATCACTAACGACATCTGGAAAAGAAGATTGAGATATTGGGGACCTGGGTTATGAATGAAATCAGACTGTCTGCCATGGCAGGGCTGTCTCAAAAGGGGCTGACCAGAAGACTCTATCAGACAATATTTGTAGAGGGGGGGAAATTATGGGACATAGAGGCCTCTCCACGAGAGGCTAGACTTTGCATGGTCCCTACCAGCCCTACATTTCTATGATGCTCAAAGAGCAACCCAGGATAGCTGGGGATGGTGGAGCCCTGTTTGTGCCCACAACGACATCTGGAATGAATTCAGATTCACTCATACCCATCTAACTGCTTCAGCGCACAGCTCCAGTACAGACATGTTAAAAGTGACTTGCATGCCCACCCTGATCTTGCTACAACAATGCAAACCCCTAAATTAGCTAACATAGCTTCTCTGCCCCCTCCCCCCGTGGCCGGGCATTGCAGCACCTTGCGCCATAGGCACTGGAACTACAGGTGTGGGGGTTCTCCAGCACCCCCTGCCTTGAAATGATTTCTATCATACACAGGGTTTACAGTTTGGTTCAGTGGCTCTCAGCACCACTAAAAATAGTTCCAGCACCCCGCCTTACGCAATCTTTAATAGCAGGGTGGCCTGGTAGATAGAGCACTGCACTGGACTCAGGACACCTGGGTTCTTACTCCTGGCTCTGCCACCAGCTTTGTGGGTGACCTTAGCTGAGTCGCAATTGTCACGGAGTCACCGGGCAGTGCTCTGGAACTACTCCATCTGAAGCCACTCAGGACTCTGGGGCAGCCTCCTCTCTCTGAGCAGATTGTCTCCAGGGCAAGAAGCTTACACAGCTTCGACCTTCCTGGATCTGACCTCAGCATATTCAGCATCCCCTTCCACACCATGCACTTCCCACCGCGAGTCTGCCCGGGCGGGGTCCTGGGGAAGCCACAGTCAGCAGTGACTCAACCACTGTTGTAAAATGGAAAGTTTATTAGTCGATTGGGACACAGAGTAGAACTGAACTTGTTAGCACAGAAAACAGGAACATTCAGTAAAGTCCATCATGAGGGAGGGGAGCCCAGAGCCAGGGCTCTGGTCCTTCCCCTGTGCCTCAAGCCAGCTGAGACTGACTCGCTTCCAGCTGTCTGGCCCCTGCCCTGCCTATTGCTCCTCCTCCGGCCTTTGTCTTGCTTTGTGGGACAAGAGTCACCTGATCGCATCCCCCTCCTGGGTCTTGGGTTACGAAGGGGCAGCCATAGCATCCATGCAGGCAGCTGGAGCAGCCCCTGCAAAAGTCACACACCCTTATTCCCACCACCTAGACACCACATACACAGGGAAACTGAGGCACACACAGCATTCAAGCAAAACAGTAAGACTCACATAGGCTCACATACAACATAACAAGGGAAAATCCCCACTACGTCACATCTCTCCCCGCTTCAAGACCGAACTGAGCGGGGTCACTTTAGCCAGTGACCTGGGCAAGTTCAGGCCCCACTCTCCGGGACAAAGCATCAGCTATAACATTTGCACTCCCCTTATTATGGACCACCTCCATCTCATAATCCTGGAAGGACAGACTCCACCTCAGGAGTTTGGCATTGACCCCTCTCATCTGGTGCAGCCACAGCAGGACGAGTGGTCTATGTACACAGTGAAGTGCCACCCAAATAGATCCAGCTGCAGCCTTTTAAGAGCCCACTCCATGGCCAGGCACTCCTTCGCTATGGCTGCATAGCCCTGCTCCCAGGGCAGCAGCTTCCTGCTCAGGTACATGATGGGGTGTTTCTCCCCCTTTGCATTGGCCTGCCCTGTGTCTGGGACATGGGTGAACACCATAAAGGGCTTGTCAAAGTCTGTGTTTCCCAGCACTGCACCCTTGACCAGAGCCTCCTTTGGGCCCTGGCTAGGTTCTCCCTGGCCAGACCCATGAGCTCAGTGAGCTTTTCCCAGAAAGTCAGTACATATTCCACCACTGATTCTCCATCAGGGGAGGCTTTTCCCTCTCATTCATCCCTCAGCAAGTCCAGGGGTCCCTTCACTCCCCTCCCATACAGCAACTGCAAAGGAGAGAACCCCATGGGTTCCTGGGGCACTTCCCTGTACGCGAACAGCAGGTGGGGTAAATACTTGTCCCAGTCCTGCAGATGCTGGCCCAGGAAAGTCCTCAGCATCATCTTCAGGGTCCCATTAAATCTCTCCACCAGCCCATTGGACTGAGGGTGATACGCCGAGGCCTAGGTATGCTGGACCCCACACTTTTCCCAGAAGCACTGGAGCAAGGTTGACAAGAAGCTGGACCTCTGGTCTGTAAGGACCTCCTTGGGGAACCCCACTCTGCTGGAAACGGTCAGCAGCACATCCATCACAGTGTCTGCCTCAACAGTAACAGATACCAAAATCTATGCCCACCAGAATGTATCTTTTCCCTGCCCAGGTCACCTTGCTGAGGGGTCCCACGATGTCCATGGTCACCTTCTGAAAAGGCTCCTCTATGACAGGCAGGTGTCTGAAGGCTGCTTCACCCTTGTCCCAGGTCTTTTGCACCCAGGACTGGCTCTAGGCACCAGCAAAGCAGCACGTGGTCAGGGAGGCACAATTCCAGGTGCGGCATTCTGGCCACCCCCCCTTTTTTTTTCTGCTTGGGCAGTTGTGCTCTCGGAGCTTGGGGCCGCAAATTTTTCACTTGGGGCGGCAAAAAACCTAGAGCCGGCCCTGTTTGCACCTCTGGGCAAGGCAGCCCTGGTTGGCAGCTATCCCATCCTGGCTGTGATTCCCCACACTCAGCTGGGGTCTTCGATCACCCTGGGCTCAGCTTTGCCCCTGCTGTCCCAGTGAGGGCAGGCAGTGAGCCCCTTGCTTTGCTCACAACATCAGAGCCAGCATGAGTCACCTCCCCTGCGTGCAGGGGGACAGGGAGTATCTCTCTGTTTCACTTAGCTCCAGGGCTCTGGTTACAGACAGGCAGGTATCCCGAACCTAGCAGCTCCTCCTCTCTGCCAGCCAGGTCATTTGCATTTTCACTGACAGCTTCAGTCTCAGCCGAATGGTTCCCTGGATTCAAATTCAAAACCTCGCCCATTACAGGAGCAGGGCCTGGATCCTGTCCCAAAGAGACACAGGCATCCCCCAACAGGAGGTCACAGCTGATGTCTTGGAGAACCCCAACTACCAGCCAGCCTGACCCCTCCTGTGTCTGCACAGGGATCTGGGCCATAGGCAGGG